TAATATAATAATATGTAATATAATAATATGAGAGAGAGATTGTAATTTTGCAGTGTGGTAAATTCCGGAGATGACAACAACAACATTGGCGGTTTGGCTTCCTCAAGCTGGAGCCAGTCAAACCCTGCTCACCAGGACAAGCCAATAAAATGGGGCATTGCTTGGTGATTAATTATGATGATGATCGGTGTGCAATTCGAGCAATTGTCACTGGAGCTCTCGCTGTACCACATAAACCAGCTCAGTAGCTGAAGTCAGCAGATGCTTGCGAGATCTGAGATCATTAAGGCCATTGTACAGGAAGATAAACTGAGAGTGGAAAATTACTCAGGAGACTCAAGAGGGATACTGCTCTCAGTTCCTACTTGGGACTGAAGTCTCTAGAATAGTTCTGCCCCATTTGGCGCCTGCCCTACAGACTGGTTGGAGATCCCAACCATCATCCTATGTTTTTGGAAGATCCACGTTCACACCTCGAGATTCTGGCACTGTCTTTTTTCTAGGCTGAACCACTGCTGCTTTGACCCCAGGTTTTAAAAACCGCCGTTTTTGATAAGGCAGCTGAAACATGGCTTGTCTCTTCAGCATTCCATCAAGGATGCCTTTGACTCTTCAACCTCCCTTTTCAGCATTATCCCAGGCACCCAAGCTGGAGATGAATTACATTCCTCACCTACTGATCTCAGTGTCCCATGTTCTCCCTCCTCCAACAGCTGGTCAACAATCATGGCTATCTGACTTGCTCGGCCCTCACTGGACTGCTGTAGACCCTCCAACGTCCACTGATATTTTGCCAAACGTCTGCAAACGTTTAACTTCTTCTTCCTCTCGTAAAGTAGGGAGTGCTGGTTTAGCTACATAATATGGGACAGCAGACCTAATAGGGTTTTGGATCCCTCTTTCTCCGGGGCCCAGATCAAAATCACCCAGTAGCACACTGATTTCACCTTCCAACCAGCAGCAGCTCCTTTTCACTGGCCTCCTGCCGGACCTTCCTCCAGATGTCCATGGTGAAGAGGGCACTGCTGCTATTGAAGATGGACGTCAGGGAGGACATGAGGGCAGCCATCATAACAGCCACCATTAACCCCCGCAGACCTGGGAGGTTGTGGAAAATGCAACAAATAAATTGGGGAGCCCAGTGGAGCTCCAGGCCGGGAATCCTCCAGGTTCCCATGGTGGGATGGACCACCCTCCCTCCAGTTCCAGCAGCTAAACTATCCTGTAAACAACGCAAGGCCAGAGGCCAGCCTGACCAAGGGTGTCCTGAAGGAATACCCTTAATCGCTTCCTCCATTTCTTTCAGTTCCCCCCGCCTCTTTATTCTACTCTGTTTTGCAAGGTTGGCACATCATCGGCACACAAGAGAGGCAGCACAACAGGATCGATGCTGGGCTAGCGAACAAGCTCCGATGCGAGAGAGGCTCATCGCTTCTGAGACGCAAAGCTTTCACCCCCGCCACCATCATCCTGCCTTGCTTGGAAAGGGCTCCAGGGCTGACTCACACAACCCCAAAGCCTTTGCCCCGCGAAGTGGCATCTTCCCTCCTCGTCACGTTTCTTAGCAGATGGGGCAGCATCTCGCCTTCAGTTGAGCCAACCACGCAAAACAGTCTCACTACCTTCCTTGAAGGACGGACGTACTGGAAGACTTGTGAGCATCATAATCCCATTTGCAGCAAAAAGCAGGCACATTAATTCCTCCATTAGATATGCTGCATTATTCTACACTTAGATGGAATTTAATATTAGATAAACGTTATTTCTTTTATTTTAAATAAAGCTCTCTTGGGGAAGCTAATTGTAGATGTGTTTTGCTTTTTCCAGAAAACTGATGGAGGAGGAGGAGGAGGAGGAGGAGGAGGAGAAGGAGAAGGAGAAGGAGAAGGAGAAGGAGAAGGAGAAGGAGAAGGAGAA